TGAAAACCGAAACATGTCGTGAAAAAGATGATGCTCTAATTGTAAATCGAACATTTCGATAGAAAGAGCATCATTTTAATATATTTTAAATATTAAATGTTAATTGTAATAATAATATTCTAATATTTAATAAAATATTTTATTGTGATTAGACGGTTAAAATTAAACAAAATACACTATCTTATGAAAGAAAGGGGGCAGGATTTCCAAAATTAAGCTTCTTCTTTAAATCAACACCTTTTTTTACAGATGATGCTCTGGAAACCTAGTCGTGGCTGTATAACCATTGCATAAGCAATAAAGAAAATTCTAAGCACAAGCGAATATGGGAGGCTTGAAGACACAGGTTTCATAAGCACGCTACTTATCAATAAACTTGAAGGGGGAGAAACTGAGGGACAAAAGAGTTGGAACCAAGGACGAATGTTTGAAGAGTCTACTAGAGAAATGTGGCCGGATCGGCGGAACAAAAGACAATTTGATAAAGGCGACGACTAAGAAGTAACTGTACACACCATTAAATATTAATACTATCAGTGGTTATAGTTTCCATCTGATACATTTTTCGATACGCTAAATATTTTTTTAAATAGCGGTATATCTAATAACTAATTTAAGCCTTCATATGAACTGGCAGCCCATGTCATCTAACCTGCCGCTGATAGACATCAAGTGATTAACAAACGGCCTTCTACTAAAGGACATCTGTCGCATTGCCTATCACAATTAAACGAGACGTATAGCTATTCAAGTATCGCTAAACAGATATGAAGCCCCGGTGGTTTAAAACGCATAAGACCGTCTCGATTCTCGTCATGAGGGATCTGATGGCGATCGAGACGACTCTCGAAAAGCCGATTTCTTTTTACGGACATCTGACCCGTGAAGACTTCATTGAAAAAAAAGATTATCATCTCAGCTGCTTTTTCTGTCCACAAAATCCGTCGCTGCTAAAAGTATCTTGTAATTCTGACACTGAGTTCCAAGTATAAAACTATTACTACCGCGCACACATCCACAAACACTTCAAAATGCAAACACCAACCTCAGGAGAAGAGAAAGGACAGTTAAGGATGTGAAGGCCAATTAGAAGAAACGTAGTCCAGGAACTTTTAAAGCAGTAAGTTGGAAATAAGAAGCTGGTTGTCTTCTTGGATATTGAACTGTGTACTGCCTCCATCATCAGGACTGAGGCAGTTAGTACTTCTGAAATGTCGGCATAGCTCTAGATCACAGAAGACAATTACTCGTCACCATGGTAATCTGAAATCTTACCAAGCTGAAAGAAGGTTTAATTCCCTCTCTGAAGATCTGGACCAGAGATGAGGGATTCTGAACATGATAACGAATCTTACAAACACGAATATTCTTAAGTATCCGGGTAACCACGAGATACTCAAGTAGGATTCTGCTCCAATAAGTTAATTATTTTCATTCGCTGCTATGTAGGTATTAACCGACATTCACTTCGGTTATTAGGTGAGTGGTAACTTCCTGACAGTATTCGACCTTGAGTTACTTGTCAGTTAGTTACAGGAAAAGCGAGACGTACCGAAGCTTCGGTGCGGGTTTTTCCGACAGCAATAACAGTGCTTACATACTTTCAGATGCCTCCAGGACAACAAGGGACCCGATGCACTGAAGGCCTTATTTATTTCGAAAACTCAGCTCCAGAGGTTTGCCCTACAGTTAACTACTCGTACTTCGAAACTCATTTTACGAAACACAACTTCGCCTTTTCATTATTATTATTATTATTATTATTATTAGTGTTCTGTCTGACGACAGGTCCATATGAACAGGATCCTTCCATCCTTTTCTCGGACTGGGACCTGTTCATATACGTTCTTGGCAGATGATCCAGAAGTGGTTTGCAATTGCCTTCTTCTGTGTGTGAACCCGAGACCCCAGGATTACAAGGTCAGCGTTCTAACCGCTAGACCACCGTAACCTTTTTTCTACTAAATTATATGCTCAAGATTTAATGTTGCCTTGCCTCTCATAAATTGACATGTATTATAATTAGATTATTAGGCTCCTCAGGGTAATTTTAAGGCCTCATGATACTCGCGACCCCCACTTTAGGAAACGCTGCATTAGACTATTGGACGGTGGTGGTAATAGTGACGAGTGCAAATGAGACGACTTGAAACTCATTATTCAATCATTCAATGCTCATCCCCATCGCAAATAATCATTTGAATCTACGTGTATGATTCAGATGCGCATCCAGAACGTCCTAGATCTGAAACTACACTGATTTTATACTTCCTCCAGTCACTCCGGCGAAATTTCTCTACGATTTTACAAAACTGTTGACTGTAACTTCACAATCATTGTCGTCTATAAACGTTTCATTAAATCAGGTATCCAACCAACAAAACTAAAGCACAAATTCCAGCTTTTGCATCCAGGGTTCCATTAGAGTACCTCACTCGTTAATTTACAGATTTTATCGTGAAAAGCGACACCAATGTATAAAGGAAGCCTCTAATGGATTTCGGAAAGTTTCAGTCGATAGCTTTCCATCGCAGAGGCCCGGGTTCAATCCCAAGGCATTCAATGCGGGACTTATGGCGGGAAAAATAGTAATGAGTTGGTTTATATAATACAGTATTCGTTATTCGGTTTCTTTCTATAAAATGTAAATATCTTTCCAATTGCGGTACGCGTTGGGTAGGAGGCTGGATAGGTCTCAGAGCCAGTCCGGACACGGTACCTAAAATAAGGATTGTCTGCGTCTGCCGGGAACTGAACCTCAGTTGCTCAGCCCGTACCCTAGTCGCTAAACTGCACTATGTCAGGCGCTATTATTATTAGGGTACTTGTCCGTGATTTATTATATAACATTTCCCAAGACTTATTGCACAGCAGCTTCCAGAAAACACGTTTAAAATTTATAAAGTGTTATCTTCCTAAAATTGTGTTGTCACTCTTACTAATTTAATAATTATAATAATAATATAAATGAAGAGACGAACTCTGGATTACACTAACATTCAAAATGTGTTTTTCATATCACATCTCATAGGTCATTGTTTCACTAATGTGATCCGAGGCCACAGTTACGCAAAAATGTGTGCCAACTATGACCTATGACATTCTGAAACCAGGATGGTGGAAACACAGGGCTGTCCAGGGCAGGGCCGGTGGTCAATGCAGGGGAGGAATGGGCCGCAGGACAAAGCCCCTGGTTTACAAATTACAAACATTAGAAAAAAACAATCCTACTCCCCCCCCCGCGCGACATCAAAATCGTAATGCGACTCGCGTAAGGTTTTTTTGGATCGATATAATATGTGGATTAAAGGGTAGAAAATGCCTAAGCCCCTGATACTACGGCACAATTTATGGTCATCACATCTCAGTTCTCAAAAACCATCGACTTAATATCATTCACCACTTTTAAAAGTTCACAAAAATTATAATTACGTAACAGAATATAAAATAAACCAAAGAATATTATGAATAAAATTACACACCGCCACAGGTATAAAACAGCATGACTGGCATATGTCTCCTTTAGATATGCTTAATATTATACAAAAAAAAAAAAACATTACCCAAACGCACGTGTACTGATGTGGAACATACACTCACACTCAAATTCGTAAAAATAAAGGAAAAATTCTAACTGCGATAAAACGAACCTGATGTGAGATTTCTCGTATTCGACGTTCGTAAGACGTCTTTTAATTGTTTCCTTTCCACTCGCTGTCTTCTTGGCTACACTTGACTAGAGCAATTATAGTCGCTAGTAGGAAGCCATTCAGCAGACGTTGGACAAACACACGCACACGCCGGTCGCAATGGAACGAACGAACCGCCAGCTAAGGTCAATGTTGTACTACTGGACGCGTTCCTCTAGCGCCTTCTAGACTTAAATGAACACCGAACAGACGAAATGCGCACCCGCGAAAAAGAATCTAGGCTCGGGATTCTGAACTCGCGACCCACAGCTACATTATTTGTAACTGTTATAAAACATGTGGTCAGCATTCGACAGTCTCTGTCGCTGTGCGCAAGTGTTCAGTTTAACGACGTCAAATCCAGAAGTAGGACTCGTCTCACAGGCGAATCGCAGTGTTGAATCTAAATCAATGTAAAATACCCAGATTAGTAGCATTTTCAACAAATTTCCATAGATTTGCAAGTCTTCACAATCTTGCGGCCCGACTGGGTGAATGTGGTCCCAAGTATGGAGAAATTTGAGCATCTCTTCTAATCGACAGTTCAAAAATTAATTCATTGGTTCACTGATATTAAGTTCTAGAAAAAAACGACGTGACAAGTTACTAAAATTTAAATCTGAATTCAGTTTTGGTACACTGAAATTATACATTATCTCTTTGCCTAACCATCTCTATGGAAGGAAACCCTAGGCAAGTTCATAACTACGTAACTATTCCAGAAATGCCTCGCCTTTTATAGAACAAATCACTCACATTCAAAATCGCTTGATTGATGTCAATTAAATCTGACAAGCGTCGTCTGCCAACTTCAAATTTGGTCCATATTGGTGCACTACGAGATACTCTTGCACACAAAAATCGAACTTTTAACACTAACAGAAGAGTTCGACGTTAAAAATAGGTACACGAGCCATAAAATGTTAATATAGTGTTAGGTTATTTTCGTAAGGAATATACAAAGGGTAAATGTGTTTATCACTGGTATCATGGTTATTATTCCATGGTTACTTAACTATGACCTTTGACTCGGTTATCTGGATAAAACCCAAGTGACCCGGGAGATACTCGATAAGACGGTCGCATTGTAACCCATTCGGTCAATGTTATTCAAAATAATTATAGTACAGAGGTCGAATATTATACATAATCCTGCAAGATATGGCAGTTAATGCGTTGTATTTCATAATAAAATTTCTGCAATCGTGGGAGTTACGTTACAGAAAAACACCGAAATTGGCAAGAGAGAAAAGTATTCTCCAGTCTGGCAGGCAAACGAGGAGCTAGTAATCGAAACATGTGACTGCTCTCTCGACCAAATCATCATAGGTTTATTCGGGACACAATCCACAAAAGAAAGTTAATCCGAGATATTTCCTGCCTCATCGATCTGATGGTGGAGGGAATAAGCACCTCTGAAACGTCGGTCAACTTCTACGAGACTACACGGCGCAACATCCAACAAGGCAGCCATCATGTTCCGTAAAACACCATCTGAGTGACTGCTAGATACTCTGTCCAGTTAAACATCCTCTTATCCTATTCTACGCTAAACAACATAACCTAAACATAAGCTACTTTATTCAGATCGATACAAATGAAAACATGGCGCAAAATATAATCATTAGCAAAGTTGACATTTCTCCTCGTCTCACTACAGGAAGACCCCCTTCACACGTAACGCGTGTTGCAATGCAGAAGGGCCGTCCAAAGTATAGGTCAGAGGCCACATGCATCACGATAGGCATTATGGATTGAATCAAGGCCATTCGTAATAAGAGGCCGAGCCTCGGAAACAGCTTGTGGTGACCACAAATTTAAATTCTGCAGTACGAAAAACAGGCGAATTCTATGTCGACGATGTTCTGGGCGTGGATTTCAAGACAGAAACCAGTGTCCTGGTATTTTTCAAAATTATTTTTCGGTTCTATACGACAGGTACTGGGTTAAAAACGTGTCCATGTATTAACGACTTCTTAAAATTACCGATGAAATGCAGCAAAATAATCTTTGGCTTAAAAGTGTAAGAAGAAAAAAACCCGAAATGCGCGAATGAAAACGTAACTTTCCGCTCCGAGTACAAAATGACCGGACCCGATTCCCTGGACAGCCACTTGTAGTTCTGGTCCTTGCCTTCACAGAACCAGAAGGCTCGGTTGTCCACGCCTTTAAAATCTGCAATTTCATTGGCTGGCACGTAGCGTCGAAGGAGAAAAAAAAAATGTCCAATGCCATTAACGTGTGTATTCCCGATGTTACATTCAATTACGTCCGTTTCGAGGTCGTTCGTGGGCCAACGGTCTGAAGGCCGCACACAGAGTACACACTAGGACCTACTTGTTTACACAAATCAGCTTCGATTATCAGTCTTAATTCGTTCGTCGTTGATGTGTCGATTTTGGTGTTGCAACGCATAAAAACTTGTAGGCTTTAATCTACGCCACTAAACCTTTAACCTACAAGTAAACAATATAACAAATACGAGATTCAATACCACTAATATCGCTGTTTCTGGTATCGATAACCGGTAGTGAAATGTATTTTACGTGCCGAGTTTCAATTAACGTGTTAATTAATTATCATTATTATGCAGTCACCATGTTTTAACTTTTCATTATATCTTCCGATAAAAGGTGCGTACTTTTCAATGACCAGAACAATGCACTTAATGTTAATTAGTTCGTACAGGCCTAATGTTGATGCACATAATTAAACTTTTAATGTGTGTACTAATATTTATGTACACAACAGGACACAAAGTAGAGTGAGCCTATAATACTGATGATGGCTGTCTTAGCCGACGAGAACAGACCCATGGGGCTGAAACACGTCTGGGAAAATAACTTTTAAATAAACGCTAGTATAACAGTAACTGCAACTAGTTCACATCCACACAATCAAATTCTCTGTAACTACTACAACACGTTCACTCACCTATATTTCAATTTTTCACGATAATAAATACATGAATCTTAAAAACAGCATTACTTTAAAAATAATTATATTTGTAACTCGACAAATAAAATAATACGCTACAAAACACCCGCAACATTTAACTGTACAACTACAATGTGAAGTACTTCTAACAACAATTATCAGATACATCACTTCACTCAGTTTCCTCAAGGGGAGATAATTTCCAGTATCCAGCGAGACATTTCACTTTTTCTGCAAAACATTTTGGCAACTCTGTCGACCACAGACGTACCAACGTCCTCCAGCCTCGGGAATCAGCCGTACATGACCAAGCCATATTAAATCATGTTTCACATTCCTAAGCATGGTGTAACGCTGAACCCGTCAGTCAGCTTGTAACAAGGTTAATGATTGGACGGCTCTTCTTCTCAGTTAACCCTTGTTAGGAGCCGAATCCCTTCACTGAGAACGGGATGTCACATTTTATTGTAATCAAAATAAGAACCTTTCACTAGACTAAACACAAAGCTATTAAATTTTAATTTATACAACGCAAACAATAAAGTCATCTACAGAAGGATCTTGACATTGGTACTAAAAAAAGAATTTTTTTGAACACTACGTAAAAAAAAAGTTGCGACAGAAAATATACACTTGGCTACACAAATTAATGTTCTGCGTTAACAGATCATAAATATCCAAACAAATTTTATATAAAACTTATTTCGTATGTCAACAATTACAAACGCGATGACGATATAAAACTCTTAGTATATATATGGGAATTTTTTGATAGAATTTATACTATTAAAAATAATTGTTTAAATAATTTTCAACATACATAAATATTTAGAACAATATTTAAAAAAAAGTAAAAATTATCAGCTCTATAATGGTCCAAAGAATTATTTTGAGTACCAATTTTGGATATTTCCTGACGCATTGACAAAAGTATGTGAAAACGAATGTCAATGTCACCTATGTAAGAACGGAACGGACGATGACAGCAAAATGAACATGTTAGTTTTGGTACGAAACACGCCTAAAAATCCACATACGTGAAGCTCGTTAAACATTCCGTAGAGGTTGTATCACTTACACTGGGCCAGACCAGACATGAAGGGACAGAGGCAGACAGCTGCGAGGGAAGGATGTAGACACTTACCTTTAACAAGGTTCTGTTGAGTTGCATGAGCCAGAGCTGCAGCAGTGGGAGAGGAAAAGAGTGATGTGGGAATGTGATACCACAAAGACAGACGGCAAATCCACGATACGCGCGCAAATCAATTAGAAGTGCCAATGACAACAACACATGATACAAGAAGTATTATGTTTTTGCATAACGACTTCAATTCAAACATACATTTGGGGAGAGGCGGATTCAGACGACATCCGGTACGCAGACGCGGACGGACAACACACAAATATGAAGACAAGAATTGTGTCAGACATCTTTGTGCAATGTTATTTAAAATTTTATGCCCTAAAATATAAGAGGGGATAAGAATGTGATTGAAGTAATCAAGTTGCAACAATACTAGACAGAAGCTGACATCGACAACTTTCTCAAAGTGTGGTGCCGCATTTCATTTCCAAGAAATATATTTGTAAATATTTACCTTAACATAATGGGATCTTTCATACTTGCCTCAAGAAATGTATATTTGAGTTTTTGTTCAATTAAGTAGAAAAGGTCCACAGCTTCAAACTAGTCAAACTCTCTTATAATTGTGAATTTTGAATATGGCAATTACTTTACGATTTAACAATCCTGCCAATACCTAAGACTATATAGTGTTAAATGATAAGATAATTAATGAGTAATGAATTGCAAATGAGATGGAAGGAAGAAATCATGATGTAATTTAAGGGACTATCCTCGTGACGGCCTGTAGACACTGAGGAGAAACCTCAGGATAGCCAATCTCTTGCAACAATTTCGCCATGACATTTAATAATAAGGATATTATTATTATTGTTAAACCATATACGGATGCGTATGATAATCAAAATAAAGCCACGGATAGATAAATGCAAATTTGGTTTGCTTCGACGTTTTCAAATCATGTACCCACAGAAGATATTTAAATTGATGTGGACAAAGCAGAAAAGACATGGCATATAATTTAAAATATAATACAGCTGACATGAAAAATTCTCAGTAGCAATGCTAGATGGTAAAACGATCTGTACGTAGATCCAAAAAGTAATCTGGAATGAGGTGTTTTGGTTTCATGAGACTTAAGTACAACATGGAGTAGAATTACTTCTGTGTGACGGAAACCATATATTTTTTAAACTAAAACCAGTGGGTCTGTGAAGGTACTTAGGAAACAAATGTAATATATTCATATAATTGATTTCAGCCTCTACTTTTTAATGTGATCAATGAATTTAATTATGCTTTCAATGGCAAAATGTGTCTGCAGATCTAGAATAAGTTCCAGCAATGAAAAGCCCATGATGTGCTGTAGAATTTAGTTATACTTCAAAAAATCCAGATATGTGCTGTGAACTAAAAAGTGAATACTTTTTCTTATCAAAATTCTTGCAATAACAAACAAATGTTTCGGCAACAGGACATAAGTCTGGTTTTATCCAACGTCAGAAATTTTAACTAGATTTGTCAACATAAAATTTAACCATAATCCTTGAGCATGTCAGTGTTAGAATATTTTGATGTTTTATAAACTAGCGTAAATGTTCTACTCTCGAGTGCACACGCGATGACAATGACTGGATACAATTACACAAGCTTAAAGTAAGTAGGAGTGTTTAATACATACACAGGTGCAAGTGCGACACACGGCATGCAGAGTGCGAATGTTGCGGTTCCTGACGGACAGGTGCGAGTCAGATGAATCAGTACAGTTATAGGACAGGGATCCTATTCAGGCAGTAGATCCTCTCCTAACTCCTCATCACCAAACTCATCCTCAAGCTGGTTCAGAGGTTTGCGGCCCGCTGATGTGCGAGGTCTCTCTGCAAGAGGACCCAATGGATCACTGTAGCTAGCATCTGTGAACATGTCACATTAACCTTTATCATACGGGAAAAGGGGATTTAACGTAGTGCACGGCTGGCAAATTTTAAGGAATGTTAATAGAATAATCATTTGACTCTTGCATAAATTGTACTGTTCCAAACACATTAAATGACAGACTGACTTACAGCGGTAAATGCTCTAGCCTGGCTAATAATGCACTGTCAAACCACTAAAACTAGAGAAATGTAAAAGAAATGTTTTACTATATAACACAACAGTATATTATGTTAATTATGATGACAATGTGGTGATGGTGATGTAATTCCTTGTACATTATACTAGAAACCAGCTACATATTCCAAAAGAAAACAATAAACTCACCAATATCTCTATGCTGAATGGTGACGCTATAAGATTCATTGGTCTCAAGGAGTGCCATCTTATGCAGCCGTGAAACTTGAGAAGGCACAGGTGGACTACGATGAGTACCTGCAGACAGCTGGGATGAGTCACTCAGAGGGCTGTTGAGTCCTCCACGAGATGAGCGACCACTTCCACTCCGCAGTGATCCTGTACAGAAGATTCATACCAATATGTAAATTCTGTATCAGCGAAATCTTAATTTATAAAGATACTTATTTGTCTGTCTTTAAAATTCTTATATGATATCCACCTGCATACTTAAAAAGTATAGAATATGGCCAAGGGCATAATTTAAAAAATAAAAGTGCTAGAACAACCTTGCACACAGTTTGAGGATGAAATAAACAAGCATCTATCATAATATGAGGCTTCTCTCATCAATAATAGCTTCACTTTTATATTAAAAATTAAACAATATACTCATTCCTAATTCATGGAACGACAAAATATGAAGCAACATTCAGTAACTAATACATCAAATAATACATCATGGTTCATTCACCCATTTAGAACCTGTGTCTTTCCACCAAAGAAAAAACAGGTAACGGTGCATTAAACTCACCTGGCCTGCTGCTACCAATTCTCTCACGAACTTCCTTGGCTTTCTCTGCTTTTTTCAACTCAAGTGCATATTCTGTTGCCTCCTTAAGACCTAAATCACTGCAGAGACGGATAAGAAACTTCAAACCTGTCAGAAAGAAAACAGTACCTGTCTACATATGTCTACTTAATAATTTCCCTGAGGGTATTAAGAATATTACATATCAAATCTAAAACTTCTTGACGATGGTGAAGAGTCAATTGAATAAAAATTTTCTTGGATATTATCCATCGTATAGTAAATATAAAACGTAAAACGACGTTTCGGAGATGGGACTCTATCTCCGTCTTCAGGTTCCTACACAGTTGGGCCCACTAGATAGAGCTAATCCCTATCAAGAATATTACAATTTGCCACAGAAACAGTCAAAGCCCTCCTCTGGATGTGACCTATGATATCGCAGTCCAATCCTGACAATAAAAACCTGTTTGCTTACGATCCATTTTAATACAATTCTCTCACCCCAGAACAGACATGACATAGCTTATGTACACACATTCTACATATATGCAAATGTAACACCAACATTGTATGGATGGTTATTACAACAATACGTAATCTAAATTTTCACTTTAAAACTTTTCAGATATGCAACATCATCCTCATCCACAAACATTATCAACATATTTGGGTCACCTTATGATAAAGTCTTCTCAATTCTTTTCAACCCTCACGTAAGTTCTACTTTGAGAATTAAATAATCAGACTGAAGTTTTTTGTACAGCAAGATTCCACACAAATTAGCATAATGATTTCAAGCAAATATTCTGTATTTTAAAATCCTTAATAAGAAACTGGATAATAAAATACGAGAGATTGCTGAGTATTCCTTACCTCTTGACTCTCGTATGTTGGAAGAAGTCTGTAGCAAAGTATGCATAATATGTCACTGACTGTACAGACTTCATATGAAAATCAGGAGACAGAGAACTGTATAGATCACAACCCAGGACATCCCAACCTACCCAGTGTGGCAATCAGAGGATTAAATAAAGATTACCATTTGCTTTATTTCTCCATTATATAACAATAATTTTTAAATTACACAGGGAGAAATATAATGAATTACAAATTCAGAATGCTGTGGAAGTAGCTGTGGCCTATTTTAAGGTACTTCACTAAAATTTTCCTACAGGGACTGAATATAAATCTAATATCAGAATGTGTCATATCTGATGTGAAATAATACTCACATTCTATATTCTCTGGGAAACGGGCATGAATGTCTTTATAAGCTTGTAGTGCCTGGTGATAATTTCCACTTCTTCGATGACAGGAAGCACCCATCAGTTGCCACTTCACCTCATTGGGCTGCATAAGAGCCGCCCGTTCAAAGTAGTCTAATGCCTTTTCAGGCACTTGATGCTCAATGAAATAGGACCCTAACCAGTCCAACACCGTCAAGTTCGAAGGGTAATACCGGAATGACTGAAATTAACGCATTTACTTAGTTCAAGGGTCTTATTAAATCTAACAAAGCTAGGTTTTCATAACAATTTAGCTTCAAATCCAATACATAATTATGCACTATGACAAAAAATATTTTGAAGTACTATAATACACTCCTGCCAACTGTTACTCCCGTATAAGGACTACTACAAGAGAAGTCAAAGAAAGTACGTAACAAATACAATCATGACATGGAAGAAAAAAGATGGTGGTGGAAGGTTTAAATGTGAAAGGGTCACTCAAAAATTATTAGCAGAGACACTACTTACATAAAAATAAAATTTTGTTCACATCAATTCAGAAGTTTCAGAGATGAAATTTACAAACAGAAGGATTACTACGGACTTCTCTCAGGAAAAAATAAAACTGTGAGGCAACAGGTAATAATAAAAGAACCAGTTTTTAGTTTTCTGAAGCACTTACGTCACAATGATACTGATATGCCTGCTGTTTGTCTCCATCATTATCATATATTTCTGCCATCTTATGCAGAACTTCTGGGTCAGTAGGCACAAGTCCAAGAAGCTGAAGGTACCTGAAAGAAAAACAGTTATTACTGAATGTGGAAGATTTGCTACAGAAATGGGAAGAATCAATTACTGTACACAAAACAACAACAAGAGAAAAAACTTTTTTAAAGCATCTTCTAGAATGGACAGCATTAAACACAGATTTTATAAATGAAAATTATCAATCTGAATTCAGACAAAATATGTCTGACCTCAGAGAAAATATCTGGGGAAGTGTACTTGTAATCTTCTACACATGTAAAAATAAATTTCGTACAGTTTTCCAACTTATGTCAATTTTTAATATAGCCAATTGCAATGGCCATGTGATCTAAGGTGCAGGTCTTTGTCACTGTAACATGGGGACTGTGTATTGAAATCCTACTCATGGCATGAATGTGTGTCTGCATTCATGTTATGCTGTTCTGTGCAGGTAGAGACCTTGTTACAAGGCGATCATTCACCAATCCAGAGACTCATAACAAATATGAAAGAAGCTGGCACAAACAAGGGAGCTCACAACAAGGTCTACTGAGGTCAGTAAAAAAATTGTAATCAGCCACAAACCACATGTGGCTAGCTCAATTTGTTTGCGCGCCACAATTTTTCAAAACCCCGAAAGGACTTTGTGGATACACTATACTGCTACCAAGATAATCATAAATATATATAATCACCATTCTGATGCCTGGTCCACATCCCCAAGCAGCTCATAGATGTTTGCCAATTGGTAGTGCACCTCTGGATGATGGCGCACAATAGCGTGCAGCTTTAGAAAGCATTCCAAGGCTTCCTCATATAGCCCCAGTCGTTTGTTCACAATACCTAACATAAAACACAATTCAACGTCAATTTATTATCTATGCATAAAAGAACCATACTTTAAAAGGGCAGATCCATATACTGTATCACATCAGTCCTGAAGATGAAGGCAATTCTTGTACCTCAGATGTGTACTATACCTAATCCTCCTTGATTTGATAAAAATTTAGCACATCCTAACCTAGATTGTAAAGAGCCTCCACACATGAGGCATCACTATCCAGAGCACAAGCAAACAGTTCCTTGGCTTTCTCAACATCATTTCGGGCTAGGCTGCAGTTTCCCAAGTTGACAAATGCAGCAGAATTGTAGCCGTCTGCTTGCCGAGCCATTTCTCCATATTTTTCTGCCTGATTTATATCACCTTGCTGCAACAAGTCCATAATTAAAAATTGCATAATGTAATAGAAATGTATTCTTCATGTTGTGATATCACGAGAAAGGAAGCGTCCGCTGAGTCAGACCCCTGCTCATTGGGCAGACTCTCTTGCCGTCGAGTATAACATCAGGAATTTACGTGGCCATACCACCAGACACTGGTCCACCCAAGCACGGGATAGAGAGGAATGCAGGAGATGCTGGGACCTGGGCAAATCGAGTTGAAGAATGGGTCGTTTAAGTGCTAAGTGATATCATTTGGTTCAAATCAAAAATTTCATGTTATCTAGGAACAGAATAATATCTCTACCTTCATCAAAGAGCATCTTTTCACTAAACCAAAATGCCAACCTTTCTTGCACACAAGTCCCATTTTCATGACTACAAATCCACAATGTGTTACTGTGAATTTCCTTTTTCCTCAAATATTTAAAGACTTATTTCAGGTTCTACCTTAGCAATGTATTTCAGTTCATGCAACAAAAATAAATTTTGTCCTTAAAAAATAACACAAATACATGTTGAATCATGAATCAAATCAAATGGCTTAAATGAGACAGGGTTTTTCCTCAGTTCCTAACTTACCAGGAAATAGATGAAGGCAAGATTGGTAGCAGCTGCACTAGCTACTTTACTCTCTTTCTTCTCAAATGCTCGAAGAGTATCAACAGCTTGAGAGAATTCCTTCTGTTTGAGGTACATTACAGCCTTGTTTATTTCAAGATCACTAGCAAGCAACGAATGACTGGAGACCTTGATTGCTTCCACACACCAGTTATACCCTACGAAAAGACATGATTAGTTATGAAATCCTTCATGATATAAAATTTTCCTCCATTTAAACTACATCATTGTTTCTGAACTGGTCAACACAGCAGTCACATTTAAAATGTACTCTGTTTGAGACCCAACTTCCTAACCAAAATGAGGTTTCTTTAGTTGTCAGAGCCAGTTCACTAAGAAGCATAATCCAATGAAAAATAGTTACAAAATACCCATGTTAAGGATTTAAAACTGGGTAGGAAACCATGGGAAATAAGCCACACGATACTCACACGGCAAAGATGTAGAAATTCAGTTCTATAATAAAGTCAGGAATTTCATTCAGTAATACAGGTACCCTGGTCCTCCAGGTTGCAAGGCTAACATCCTTGCACCGTAAAAAGGAAGATGTTTTGAAACCTCAATCAAAGCCTCGGGCAGACGGACCTAACAGATGACTGAGTGGAAGAGGAGAATTGAGGAGGCCATGGACCGAATACGGACCGGAGAGCCATAGAAGAAGAAAAATCCTGTGATCTTT